ACCACCGCCAGAACAACAACCATAAATGCTGTTGCCCAGTGCCATCCAAAGCAAAGGAAGGCTTGTACAAACATAAAAATGTGTCCTTGGTATGGCTTATAGCTACGTGGCCCTCTAAAAAATCACATGCTCATAGCCAGGGCCACTGGAATGTGATTGGATTCTGGCAGTTAATAGCAGACTTGCTTTTTAGCAAATGGGGTTTGGTTGGAAATGCTGGGACACTGGGGTGTTGCCAGGAAGGGGTTTTCTCCTCTCTCCTGATTCTCCTTTCTCCCTCTGCTTCCATCTGCTTTTCTGTGAGAAGCTCTGCTCCACCTCTTCCATGCTGCCCTACCTTGCAGCCCCTAGATAGCCTCCTGAAACTTCTGCTAACTTTGAGCCAAAATAAACCTTCCCTGCTTTAATCTATCGGCATCAGGCATGGTGCTGTAAGGATGCAGACTCAAGTAACTAAGTAACTCAGGAACTAAGACAGTCCTTCTTAGTACTCTGCAGCTAGGAGCATGGTTGCTTTCTTCCCAACCAGGAGCTGGGGCCAAGAGGGTGCAGGGAGCAGATGCTTTCCTTCTAGAAGGGCCGCAGTGCAGACTATCAGTAGAGAAATGTTTATTTGCTTTGAATGGAGTTGTCCATCAGATGGAACGTCTAAAGACAATGTTACCCTGGGTTCAGAGGCTGATGTTGCAATAAGTAGGAATTAGATTTTCCTAACTGTGCAAACAAACCATGATAATATGGCTTAGTTTCATATAAACACAGACAGTGTGGCTCTTAGGCAGCCCAGTGTGCACAGGAACATATATTCCAGGGTGATGAGCTATGATCTGAGGTGTGTTTGTATGAGGCCCAATGAAGAAACTGTGCAATTCAAGTGAAAAACAAGAGTTAACAAACACAGATTGGAAGGGAAAGCTTTTACCAGTTGGTGAATACTTCCATGAATGAAAAAAACACTTTCTAGCAATTGTGCTCCTTCTTATTTATCTCCCTTACTTTAAAACCAACTGCATTTGCTAACACAGGTTACAAATATATAAGAAGTATGAGACAGAGGAAATGCTTTTGTTCAGGTTATGGATCTCAGACAGTGTGTCCATATGCATAGCAAGAACATAGCTAAAGAAAGGATTCACATAATTTTAGCCCCACCAAACATTTCTATTTTGATCCAAGCTGGATGGCACCAATAAAGAGTTCTAAGGGTTCATTAAAATGAGACCCTAGCGGAGTAGCACAAGCCCTCTCCATCTATGTGGGTATGCAGTTATTACTTCAATATCCAATCTCAGAACACCCGGTCTGGAGCTCCTGCGTGTGAACTTACAGGCCCATGTTACTCCACCATCTCTGGAGACCCCAGAACAAGTCTTGCCTGATACTGTAGGTAAGCCCTGCTCCTGGGGTGTGGTACTGCTTCTGTTTTCCAAGCTGGCATTTTTGAGGCCATGCTTGAATGTAGTTCCTACTGCCTTGGCCTGTGCATCCCAGCCTATGGCTTGTGCGGTACGTGTGACACCTGTCCTAATGCTACCACTGTCCACCCAGGTTGCCTGAGCTCTGTTTTGAGCAGCCTGAGCTCATATGGGAAGAAGCCTGTGTGGGTGGACCTGCTCTGTTAGACGGTAGGGCTGCCTGGGCCATGAGAGTTGCCTGAGCCTGTTCTGGAGTTTGCTCATGGCTCTTCCATCCATAGATGCACTGAGGCAGATGCAGGAACGCCTGCAGGACACTGAGCCTGCTTTTTAGACTTTGAAGACCTCTTCTAACATCATGGTGTCTTCTATAGCACAAATACCCAGCAAAATCAGTGCTGTACTGGCAAATTCTAGGTTCTCAAAAACACCTCAAAAAGGTCAATGAGTAGGGCTAACTGCACTGACATACAGGCTGCCTATATCCTGTAAACTGCCAGTCAGAAAGCTCATGTTAACTAAGTTTTCCAAGCGTTTCTTTGCAGAAGCTGTGTTTTCCATTCCCAATACTTCCTGGATCTTTTACAGACTCTGCTTTCCTAGAAAAAGATCAGACCACATATTGTTGAAAGTCTTCTTTGTGATTCTTTGATAGGACTCTCAAAAAATAAGGCAGTTTCCTCAATCCTGGCACTGTTGGCATTCGGTGTCTTGTGCATTGTAAGATGTTTAACAACATTCCAGGCCTCCAGTTACAAGATGCTAGTAGAACCCATCTCTTGATATTGCCAAATGTCTCCTGGAGGTTGTGTAGTGGTGGAATGGCTCTCTCCAGACAACACTGGGACAGAGCACAGCATAGAAAAGTGATATTGTTCTCTTTTCAGCTGACACCGAAACATCACTTGCAAGGCCTGAGGAAAGCTATCCTGGTGCCATGAGGTAAGGAAGGTTATAAACTCCAAGGCTTTGTGCTTCACTGTGTATTCCTAAACAGATTTTCATCATTCCCTGAATCTGTAAGGATGTTTTCTTTACCAAATATCATTTTAAAATTGCACCAAAAACTCAGGATGCAAGTTTCTCTTGGTGAAATGATTTGTCCTGAATGCACCAGGATGTATAAGTCTTCCTACGGGGATGTAGTAGGACCTGAAATAAGAAAAAGTGAGCGTCCTGGAGAATGGACATTACCATCCTTGAGGTGGGAACGTGTATGGTGAATCTAAGGCCAACAGAGCTGGACAGAATACAGAGGGTGGTAGAAACCTGAATTTGGGGGGAATACCCAGGGAGCAGATCATGAAGGCCTTAGCAGGTCCAAGGAAGGATTTGGGATTTTATTGTAACTTAGGTGAAAATTCACTGTCAGTGAATTGATCCTCAGTTACAAAGGATCAATGGAATGAACTGACTGGTGAGCTAAAATGATACTCTGGATGCTCCGTGGAGACGAGTGAGGCCTGCAAGGACAGCAGCAGCCACCAGGATGGAGGTTCCCAGGGCCAGATGGGAGGTGATGGTGGCTTTTACCAGGAGTAGCAGTGGAGGTGATGGAGTTGATTCAAGATGTGCTTTGGTGTCAAGGTCAAGAGGATTTACTGATGGATTCAGTGGGAGAGGAGAGAAAAAGAGGCACCAAGGACAGTTTGTAGGCCTGGGCTGGAGCAACTGCATAGACAGCACAGCGATTTACTGAAATGGGATAAAGGAAAAGAGAGGGCTTGGAGGAGAAAGTAAAGAATTCTCTTGCAAATATATTAGATTTTTGTGCCTAATAAATAGCCAAGAGGAACTGTTGAGTAATAGGTAATCGTATCAGAGCCAGTACTCAAGGAATAGGGAGGTTACAAGTGTTCATGTGGGGCCATGGAGGTGTAGACAGCATTTGAAGCCACATAGCTGGACAAGATCACCAAGGCAGTTTGTGT